TCAGTTTTTCGAGACTTGGGTTAGGACAAAATAATGATGAGCAGGACAGGAGGATGTATGCCAGATCCAGGAACCAAGCAAAGTCAGTGTTGAAGGGCTGAAAAAGAGTTCCAGAGGCAGATTGCTAGTGAGTTCAAACCCAAAGGCTTTTTACCACTACACAAAGTCGAAATTAAAAACACGAGTAGGCATATCGGACCTGAGGCTTGAATATGGTAGTTATGCAGATTCTGACCAGGATAAGGCGGAGGCGTTGAATATTTTTTTACATCGGTATTCACAAGAGAGGATGCGAACAATCTTCCTGCGCTTGAGGAAAGACGGTTTAACACAAAGCTGACCAACATTGTGTTCCCGGACGAGGTTATAAGAAATAAACTGTCAAAGCTAAAGATTCACAAGAGTCCCGGCCCAGATATGATACACCCCAGAGTGTTAAGAGAACTGTGGAACGAGCTTTCGGACCCCCTAAGATCCTGTTCTGCAATGTCTGGAGGGACAAATTGTTCCCGACAACTGGAAGATGACTTATTAAGTCCTATATTCAAGAAGGGCGATCGTCACTCCACGAATAATTATAGACCAGTGAGCCTGACCAACATAGTGTGCAAAGTACTATGGAGTATCGTAACAGATGGGCACCTCGGGCAAGACGAGTGTTACGAGCCCACGGCCTTACCGGCGGCACAGATCCGCATTGATAGACGAAATGATATCAGCTCTAGAAACAGATCTAGTTTGAGAATTAGAGGGAAGGGAAAAATGTGAAGAGTGAAGAGTAGAATCATCAGCGTAAGAATGGATCGAATTAGTCATAGTGTGAAGTAAATCATTGATAAAAATAAGGAAGAGGGTAAGAGAAAGAACATAAACCTGTAGGACACCATTTATTGGTAGAGAAAGAGCGAGACATCGATCCCCCGACAACAACTGCCATGGATCGGTTTTCAAGGAAGCTAGAAATTAGAGAAAATGGGGGAGAGAAACCATAAGAGGGAAGTTTAGAAAGCAAATACTTTTGCCATACCCTGTCAAATGCTTTGGAGATGTCGAGTGCCACGACGAAAGTTTCCCCATAATCCTTAAGAGAGGATGACCAAGGATGGGTACTAGATACTTGGACTCAAATTCTAGAACAAGGCGGAAATATCGACATTATATACCAAGATTTTGCCAAGTCTTTCAACAGTGTACCCCATGAAAGGCTTAGAATTAAACTACAAGGGTACGGGATTCGGGGAAGTGTCCTAGCGTGGATCAGACTTTCTGCATGACAGCGAACTGTGTGTATGATGATAAATGGTACGAAATCGTCATGTGTACCTGTGACAAGCGGGGTACCACAGGGCAGTGTACTGGGACTGTTGTCTGTTTCATTAATGACATGCCAGAAGCCATACACTCCTCCATTCAGATGTTTGCGAACGATGCCAAGTTATTCAGGAAAATTAAGAACCAAACAGACTGTTAAGAGCTGCAGAAAGATCTCTATGAGCTTCAAGAATGGTAGAGGATATGGCTGCTGAAATTCAATGTCACGAAGTGAAAAAAGGATGAACCTGGGTAGCACCAATAGTAAGGATGCGTATCACATGTCCCAACAGGACGAAGAGACTGCATTACTTGAGACCGAATGTGATAAGGACCTGGGTGTGTATGTCGACAATGAACTTAAAATTTCGGGCCATTGTGAGAAGACGGTGAATCAGGCAACGAAACTAGTAGGTCTAAGAAGGCCGTTTAGATATCTGGATGGTCCGTCGCTAGCCACGATCTTCAGGAGTAAGGTGCTTCCCCGTCTGGAGTATTGTCACCCCGTCTGGTCCCTGAGGTATGCTAGAGATTGTCAATTGACTGAAAATGTCCAAAGGAGGGCCCCCAGACTGGTGCCTTCTCTACGGAACCTCAGTTACCCAAAGAGATTGGAGCGCCTGCAACTACCTAGTTTATACTACAGAAGGGCGAGGGGCGACCTAATCGAAGTGTAAAAACATCTCAGGGGGGGGGGCTCTACTCGGTTGAATGTACATATATGCAGCTGGCGGACGTCCGCCCCACAAGGGGTCACAGCTCAAGATTGAAGAAGCTACAAGTCCAGAAAAATGTGAGGGTAATTTTTTTTTCGGAGTGAGAATTGTGAACTTTGGAACAATCTGCCGGAGAGCGTTGTGACGGCACCGAGTGTAAGCTCACTCAAGGCCAGATTTGACTATCACCGGAGCAGGTTCCGATATGTTCAGGGGCCAGTGCATGCCCAATATCTACCAATAGTGCGTTTCAGAGACGTAACCGGTCGCCCAAGCGGCTAACAAGCCGATCAGTGGCGAAGCGGATAAAAGCATGATAGATTGCTTTGTCCGTATTCCTATTCCTAATGATCTACTGTACAATTCTACATGATCCCCTATGACCAATCAGAAGTTTGGAAAGAAACATGCATAGAAATTATATATATATATATATACAGCCGGTGTGTACGTCAATAAATTAGATTTTCATTGCGCCAACAAGTAAAAGAAACTTTTAACTTAGATTTATCCAAATAAACATTTGACTTGTTACGCAGTAAGCCTGAAATACTCACATATATAATTTCCAAAGTTAGAAACAACAGCCCGAGATGCATAATTTTCAAAATTAAGAGAATATCAAGCATGACCTTCTGCCTTGTTGCCTTAAGGTCACCGCAGTTCTATTACAGTAACGGCGCCAAGCGAACCTGGGTACGTCGCTGGCTCCGTTTATGTTTCCTGTACAAGGAAGGCCGTCAGGAGAGGTTAGTTCATCAAGGAGCCTGACTTGTTGCCCACAATAATGTCTTCCGTCGTTCCACGCCATAAAAGGTGTTATCGACCTTCCCACAATCACGATTTGGCTCCATGTGACCCATCATAAAGAATTATTATTGAGGTAGCTGGCAACCAAGTGATATGAAGGGAGGAAAGCGTAACTATAAATACCTGAAGGAGAATGAGCAGAGCCAGTCCACATACATCACTGTTCCTGTTTGTGTGGAAGACGCTCCTGTTGTACTCCAGACATCATGAGGGTCCTTAGCGCACTTGTGAGTCTCGTTAAATTATCTGTGCACCCTTACTCTTATTCATAATTGTACCACACGCACGCACACACACATACATACACACACACACACATATATATATATATATATATATATATATATATATATATATATATATATATATATATATTATATATATAATATATATATATAATATATATATATATATATATATATATATATATATATATATATATATATATATATATATATATATATATATATATATATATATATATATATATATATCACATCTTCAGGGGTGGCAAACTCACACCCTTCCTGAAGATGTGAATAACACGAAAGTGCTTGGGAACTTCGTGTTTTCTTGTTCCTTGTGGTTATATACTGTAGGTGTGAATTCGTTTTTATCCCAATTTCCCCAATTAGTATGAAATATTTTTCTTGTGACTTTTTTTGTAATGGATTCTGACATTCGTTTCTCGCGGAAATGGGCCGTTCCTAACCTAACCTATTGGGATAAAAGAAATATATACAAACGCACTAAACATTAACACTTAAGTAAATATGATATATAAATATATGAATACTACTAATACAACTAAAAAACATGCTAATATATTCATAAATATAAGATATACACATACGAGCAAGACATATGGACATACCAACACACAAATAATCTGAAGCATTGCCATATTAGTATCGGTAATTATTAGACGTTTTCAACTATGATGGAAGAAAACCAGTAATTTTACATGTTTGATGATGGAGAATCCTGATTCTTTCATGTTTGATAATAGAGAACCAAGAATCGTTTATGTTTGATAATAGAGAACCAAGAATCTGTATGATGGAAAGCCAAGAATCTTTCATGTTTGATGATAAAGAACCAAGAATCTTTCATGTTTGATGATGGAGAACCAAGATTCTTTCATGTTTGATGATAGAGAAACAAGAATCTTTCATGTTTGATGATAAAGAACCAAGGATCTTTCATGTTTCATGATAAAGAACTAAGAATCCTTCATGTATGATGATAAAGAACTAAGAATCTTTCATATTTGACCAGAGAACCGAAAACCTTCACATTAAATGGAATAACAAACCTAATTTCTTTCTGTAAGCATATGCAAAATAATTTTATTATTTAAGCCTATGGAAGTCAATACAACACAACTTTACATTCTGCTGGACTAGAGTGCTGATGAAACAATATAGAAGCCATCATTCCTTTTTTTTCGAAACTGTAATGCTGAATTTCTAACTTCTATGTTAATTCTTTTTACCTTATTACAAATATAGTTTATGCAATTTTTTTGTATTTTGATACAATAATCAAGAAATTAATGTTAATTCCTAGTTTTCAGTAAAGACGCGCACATTGAAAAAAAATAAATAAAACACATAAAAATCTTAATACAGTGGGAGTTCTGAATTCACTGCTGAGAGGAATTACCATGGAAATGTTTAAGCCTCAGCAATACATAATTTTGCTGGTCAAATATAACATCGAATCATTCACATATTAATACATAGATACATTAATATTATATGAACTTTTTGTTAAAAAAGTGTACACATTCATGTTGACAGGGCCTACATGTATATTACTGTAATTATTTTCAGGTAGTGATGGCAGTTCTTGTGTTAGCTGTGGTGGCTGATCCTGGTCACTTTGGGAGCAGCCGTCCAGTAGGGGGCTATGGTGGCAGCACTGGAGGGACAAGTCATGGTGTGGCAGCACTGGTAGCCAGGGTTGGCTATTCTGGTGGTGGGCAGCAGCTCTGTAATCGTGCCCAGCTTGTTGGACACCACACCAGCACAACTTGGCAGTGGGGTCACAGTACTGGTGGCAGCTATGGAAGTCAACGTCAAGGTCCCAGTATTGTCCAGGCGCTTGTTGGACACCCAGTACTGGTGGCAGTGGTGGTCCAGTACTGGTGGCAGCTGGAAGTCAACGTCAAGGTCCCAGTATTGTCCGCGCCCAGCTTGTTGGACGACACACCAGTACAACTGGTGGCAGTGGTGGTCACAATTGCTGGTGGCAGCTATGAAGTCAACGTCAAGGTCCCAGTATTGTCCGCGCCCAGCTTGTTGGACGACACACAGTACAACTGGTGGCAGTGGTGGTCACGGTACTGGTGGCAGCTATGGAAGTCAACATCAGGGTCCCAGTATTGTCCGCGCCCAGCTTGTTGGACGACACACCAGTACAACTGGTGGCAGTGGTGGTCACGGTACTGGTGGCAGCTATGGAAGTCAACGTCAAGGTCCCAGTATTGTCCGTGCCCAGCTTGTTGGACGCCACACCAGTACAACAGGTGGCACTGGTGGCTACGGGACTGGTGGTGGCTCCCAGGGTGGACATCAAGGACCCAGTATTGTCCGTGCCCAGCTTGTTGGTCGTCACACTAGTTCAGGAAGTAGTGGACATGGTGGTCATGGTGGCAGCTATGGAAGCAGCTCTGGGGGTGGTACAGGTGGATGGTAAAGTGGACTGTTGAATGGTGCCCCACCTTCAGCTACTTAAAAACAACTTCGAATGGTTTTTCAGTAACGTGAACTACAAAATGAAATAGACATTACTTACTATTTTGTGTGCATATAATATGCTTGATTCACACCTTGTAATTTACTTGTACATTGCTGTACACTTTTATAACAACAACGAAAATCGGGGAGATACATAAAACACCTCATGAAATAATATTTCCTTTTCCTCAAAAATACAAACCTTCCTTTGGTACTAAAGCATTCTTAGTTCAAAAACTATATCACTTTTGTGTAACGGACAAACTTTTATTGGGGTTTTGGGGTAAAAGTAGATGATTACCAACTTAAAATTTGAATAAAGTACTGTATTATGAAACATGGAAAATTCGTCGATCTTGGAAAAGATTATCTGTGTGTATGCCTTGGATATGTCATGTCTCACGGGAAAATGATTGTCGACACAAAAGCCCGCCACGCTGGCGCCACTCCTCCCGCTCCACCTGCATCACCAGATACCAGTGTATAGCAACAGAAGGCGTCACCTATTAGTCAACCAAAGTTGCGTTTCTTTGCTGTGATTTCACTCCCGTAATTTTCCACAATGCGGGTCAATATAATGCCTAGTCGGCCGGCTCCGAGGGAGGAAACCCAACCCTTTGCCCCCTACTCTGCTGCTGCTGTTGATGATGATCTAGGACCATCGGGCAAGCTATCTTAAACCATGACACCTTTTTTCGACTACAACTCACTTACCCTTCCACTGAACCTTCTTCACCTGTCACTTGCCTTTAATTGGTTAGTTAGCTCCTGGGATTCATTGGTCCACCTGAAGAACATGTTGACTTACACACTCTGAAGAACATGTTTTACACCATCTTACGAACAATCTTTCATGAAACTTCCTCTAAACCGGACTACTTGGAGGGGAAGGCCTGTCCGGTTTAAACGAAATTCTGGGTTGGGCGGGGGTCTGTATTATCTATATTGCAAGATAAAAAATTCCAGATGATGGGAGCTTTCTTACTAAAACTACCTAAGAACACCAAACCTATTGAAATTTTTAGCCTAAACTTAACACCCTTAGAGTTTTAATGTGCCTTACTAATTTTTTTTTTTTTTAGCTGCTTGGGGTGATGGGTCAATTGAGGCAGGAGGTGGTTGAATGACTCTTACTATGCATGCCACCAAAAGTGTAGCAGAGGTTATGTTTTCACAGATAATTTCATTGACTATGATGTATGTAATATGCATATTCACATTTCTTGGACACTTCTAGGAGTTACCCTCCTGCACGGCTGCACCACCACAGTGGGAACCCTTATACTTTTTTTTTGGCACATTCTGTACAGTATGTAGGATTGTGTGTGCATGTAACTGAATAAAAAAAATAACAAATTATGTTTATCTACCCAAAATTATGAGTTGAAAAATAACCATAACATAACTCCTACCTCAGCCTGGTACGGAGAGCGCTAGGGGGAAGTGGCCGCCCCAGCTAAGCCCTGGAGGCGTGCAATTTGAATATTTGCCAGGACCCAAATTCGTATACTTTTTACTTTTATCCTCTTCGTCACAGATCGAGCCGGCTGGTCACGGCACTGTTACGCACTGTTGGCAAGTACAAGGCATGCACTGGTTCCTTAATGTACCTGAACCTGCTCCAGTGTTGGCCAAGTCTTGTCTTGACACAGGTCACACTCGATGCCATCATAACACTCTCTGGCAGGTTGTTCCAAGAGTTCATAACTCTCACTCCGAAAAAATTCGCCCTCACAGTTTTCTTGATTTGCGACTTCTTCAACATAGAGCTGTGACCCCTTGTGGGGCGGGCGTCTGCCAGCAACAGGTATGGACACTCGACTGAGTAATGCCCTCTGAGATGTTTTTAAACTTCACTTAGGTCCCTCCTTGCCTGTCTATAGTATAAGCTAGGCAGTTGCAGGCAGGCGTTCTAATAACTCAATTGGACATTTTCAATCAACTGACAGTCTCTAGCATATCTCGGGGACCAGAGAGGTATCGCAGACGGGGAAGCATATATATATATATATGCAAGTAAATCACTGTAGGTGCGCGTGATCTAGGTATATGCTGATAACCACAAGGAAAGAAGAAAACACGAAGTTCCCAAGCGCTTTCGTGTAATTCACATCTTCAGGGGTGAGTACAGACTAGAGAGAGTAATACAAATCAAGGTGTATATATACAGAGGAGGGTGAGACCAGGTCCACAATGGTCAGGTATTAGGTAATGACCCTACTAATCTTTAAATAGCACACAACGGTTGGTGGTCAGGTCAGATGGTCAAGTGACCCGGCCTTCTCACCTGATCACAAATCTTCTTAATTACAAAATTGTCCAGCTTGTACATGCCGTTACTCAAATTCATGTTGAATGCTTCGGTATGTTTAATAAGACTAGATTCTATGATGTTCCTACTATCAATTGAATTACATGGTAATATTGAGGAGGCATTATCCCAGTCAATGCAATGCTTGTTATCCCTCAAATGAACAAACAGAGCATTGGATTCCTGGCCTGTCCTAACACTGTATTTGTGTTGTTTAATTCTAGTTGCAAGATCTTTACCTGTCTGGCCTAAGTAAAACATATTACATTCCTTGCAAGGAACTTTATAAATGCAGCCAATTGTGTTGTTGGGGGAGTTCTTGATTAACATTTGTTTAACAGCGAATGTAATACCGATTTTCAAGAAGGGGGATAGATCACTATCCTCTAACTACCGCCCAATCAGTCTAACATCAATAGTAGGCAAATTACTGGAAGCAATCATTTCAAACTCTATTCGAAATCACCTGGAGAAGCACCGATTGATCAATGATTCCCAGCATGGCTTCTAGCGGACGTTCTTGCCTAACTAATCTATTAACATTCTTTTCATCAGTTTTCGAATCAGTGGACGAGGGGCACAATTATGATGTGGTATATCTCGACTTTAGCAAAGCCTTCGACAGAGTCCCCCACGAAAGACTAATTAGAAAGGTAGAAGCTCATGGCATCAAAGGTGACATCCTTAAATGGATTAGGGCGTGGTTACAGGACAGGAAACAGCGAGTGAGCATTAACGGCACTAAGTCCCATTGGAGCAACGTCACAAGTGGAGTTCCCCAAGGCTCAGTACTTGGACCATTATTGTTTATTATATACATAAACGACATAGATATCGGCATAGACAGCAACATAAGTAAATTTGCTGATGATACTAAAATAGGACGTGTTATCAAATCTGACGAGGACTCGGCAAAACTACAGGAGGATCTAAACAAATTTTTCGAATGGTCTGAAAAATGGCAGATGAAATTCAACATCGACAAATGTAAAGTACTCAGTATAGGAAATGTAAACAGGGAAACCAGATACCAGATGAACAACGATGCCATAGAGAAATCCGACTGCGAGAGAGATTTAGGAGTAATGATAAGTAGGAACCTTAAGCCAAGTAAACAATGTGTTTTTGCTCGTAACAAGGCTAATAAAGTACTTGGGTTCATACAAAGGAGTGTTAGTTACAAGACTAGCGAGGTCATCCTAAAACTGTATCTTGCTCTTGTGAGACCACACCTGGATTACGCAGTTCAGTTCTGGTCACCGTATTACAGAATGGATATAGAATCCTTGGAAAGAATTCAGAGGAGAATGACAAGACTAATCCCGGGCATTAGGAACCTTGAGTATAGAGACAGGTTAAAGCATCTTAATTTGCACTCCCTTGAGAGACGTAGAGCGAGGGGCGACCTGATAGAGGTGTATAAGTGGAAGGCAGGGCTAAACAAAGGGGACATTACAAAGGTACTCAAATTATCCAACCAGGAGCGAACTCGTAACAATGGTTTTAAATTGGACAAATTTAGATTTAGGCGTGAAATAGGTAAACACTGGTTTGGAAACAGAGTACGGTAGTGGATGAATGGAACAAGTTACCAAATATCATCATTAACTCGAATACGCTGAATTGCTTCAAACATAGGTTGGATGCTCATATGAGCAATAGGGGTTGGGTGTAAATGGGACTGCCCAGTATGGGCCAATAGGCCCGCTGCAGTTTCCTCCATTCTTATGTTCTTATGTTCTTATGGGTCAATTTTGCTTTGAGTATTGAGCCACAGCGAAAAAAGACTCCGTAAGGCAGTAGGTAGTAGGTAGCTGGGAAGATATTGGAAGCATAATGTATTGTCTAATGGTAGACTCTGCTGCCATATGGCATCACAAAAATTGTGACCAAGTCCCAGGTTGCTGATCTGAATCCTTATTTAGTTTTTCAGAATCTTTGATGAAAATAGTTTAACTAATTCTACTCAACAACTCAATAGCTAACCTCCAATCATCATTGGAAGGATGAATTTTCGGCAACTGGTAAACTTTTATGCACGTAGTCTTTTACCGTTTCAAGTAAAGTGATCAAGGAAATGGCCGCCATGGATCGTCGTGTTGTGGGGGAAGAGGGATGGTGTGTGAGGAAAGACGACCCCCTGGCCACTGTTAAGTCAGCTGGTGAGCTCTTTCAAGACAAGACTTGACCAACACTGGAGCAGGTTCAGGTACATTCAGGAGCCGGTGCATGCTCAGTACTTGCCAACAGTGCGTAACAGAGACGTGACCGATCGCCCAAGCGGCTAACGAGTCGATCATTTGGTGAAGAGGATGAAAGTAAAAGAAAAAGGAGCAATTGAGAAGAGAGATAGACGTTTTAAAGAGGGAGAACGAAGCCCTCAGGACAACTTCAGGTAGGCGTCCTGCCTAGCAGGACACCTACGAAGGAGGGTCAGGAGGACCAGGGATGGAGAGTGGTTGTGAGGAACTTTTCAAGAGGTATAGGGAGGCACCAGGGAAGGTTAGAGATAGGGGAGGGATCCCGATAGTGTGTGGTGTCTTGCCTAGAAGAGGCGTTGGCGGTGAATGACTGTCCAGGGCAATTGCTATAATTTGCCTACTGGAAAAACATTGTGCAAGCAATGGTTGGGCGTTCATTGATAACTGGCAACCATTCTATGGCAACGACTACCTGTACAGTCGTGATGGAGTACACTTGTCTCGCGCACACTTGTCTCGCGCGGGGGTAAAGACGTCTGCATCCCTGGAGCAGGAAATTGTCACTCCAAAGGGGGGGTTTCGCCAGTAGAGAGAGGTTAGGGTAAGTGGGAGTAAAAAAACAAGCAGGCCCTGGGGAGTAAAATTGGTTACTTAGGACAAGGGGTAAAACAGGGCCAGGGAAGGGTAAGTTTTTATATATATATATATATATATATATATATATATATATATATATATATATATATATATATATATATATATATATATATATATATATATATATATATATATATATATATATATATATATATATATATATATATATATATATATATATCTATATATATATATATATATATATATATATATATATATATATATATACAGTAGGAGCGTTAGAAATAAAATAGACTTGCTGAGAGCGGTTGTATGTACCGAGAATGTAAACGTCATAGCAATCACCGAATCTTGGATTAATCTGCCGAGCAAGAACTTTTTATTAGAGTACCACATAGAAGGGTACAACATTTTTCACAAGGACAAGGAAGGTAGGAAGGGGGGAGGGGTTGCACTCTTTGTCAGGGATACATTAAATTGTATTAATAATTCAATAAAGGGTGAAATAGGAACCGAGTCTGTATGGATAGAAATTGCGGAAGGAAGAGAAAAACTAATTATGGGAGTGATTTACAGGCTGTTCAGTTCTGGTGCCCCTATTATAGAATGGATATCAATTCACTGGAGTCGGTGCAGCGAAGAATGATGAAAATGATTCCGAGACTTAGAAACCTTTCATATCAAGATAGATTAAAGAAACTAAACTTGAATTCCCTAGAAAGCTGAAGTGTGCAGGGAGATATGATAGAAGTATTTAAGTGGGTGAAAGGAATCAATAAAGGAGATATAGATAAAGTTCTTATAATATCCGAGCAGGATAGGACTCGTAGCAACGGATTTAAGTTAGTTTAGGAGGGAGATAGGAAGGAACTGGTTCACAAATAGGGTGGTAGATGAGTGGAACAAGCTTAGCAACTTTGTAGTAAGTGCTGGAACGCTGGAAAGTTTTAAAAGGAGGCTAGATAGATTCTTGGATGATAGAGTGGTAGTAACTCTCAACAGGAGCTGCCATGCACAGGCCAACCAGCATATTGCATACTCCTTATTTTCTTATGTTCTTAAAACTTCTTAAATCATGGTCAGGTGTTGAATGACGGCATCCCTCAGAATTTTATCAGATTACATATGTTTGGCTCACCAGTGTAGTTTTCCGATACACTTTTTCTACCCTATTGGTAAACTCAGGGGCAGTATTGTACGAAGGCATTTTTGTATAGTAAAAAGTA